TATTTTCCTTGGTTTTCTTGGTTTAGTTTTTTGTTGTTTGTTTTTGTTTCTTTGGGGGTTTTTTTTGTCTTTTGTGTTTTTTTTCTTTCTCTTTATTTTTTTTCTTTATTTTTTATTTTTCTTGGTTTTCTTGGTTTGTTTTTTTTTCTGTTTGTTTGTTTGTGGGGTTTTTTTTGTCTTTTTTTCTTTCCCTTTATTTTTTCCTTATTTTTTATTTTCCTTGGTTTTCTTGGTTTGTTTTTTTTTCTGTTTGTTTGTTTGTGGGGTTTTTTTTGTCTTTTTTTCTTTCCCTTTATTTTTTCCTTATTTTTTATTTTCCTTGGTTTTCTTGGTTTGTTTTTTTGCTGTTTGTTTTTTTTAGGGTTTTTTTTTAGGATTTTTTTTTTGTTCGTTTTGGAGGTTTTTCTCTGTGTGTGTTTTGGGTTTTTTTGTTTGTTTCGTGGTTTTGCCTTTTTGGTTTTCTGGGGTTTTTTGGTGTTCTGGGGATTTTTAAAATTTATTTCTTGTGGGTTTTTTGTGTGTTTTGGGATTTTTTGCTTGTTTTGTGGTCTTGGCTTTTTGATTTTTGGGATATTTTTGGGGGGTTTGGGATTTTTTTATTTATTTATTGGGTTTTGTGCGTGTGTGTTTTGGGATTTTTTTGTTTGTTGTTTTGTGTTTTTCTGTTTTTTGGGGTTTGGGGGATTTTTTATTTATTTATTGGGGGGTTTTTGTGTGTGTTTTGGGGTTCTTTTTGTTGGTTGTTTTGTGTTTTTCTGGTTTTTGGGGGTTTTGGGGTTTTTTGGGGTTTTTCCCCTGGAGAATGCTCAATGCTGCTGGATGGACTCAGCAGGGATGTGACGTGTCTGAGCTTTGCCCTGGGTACCAGGCACACAAACACTCAAATGATGCTGTAAACAAATATTTGGAATCATGGAATCATTTGGGCTGGAAAAATCCTCTGAGATCATCGAGCCCAGCAAGGCCACCATGCCCCATCCACAGGGATTTTAAATCCCTGCAGGGCCTGGGGCTCATCCAGCCGTGCCAGGGCTGGATAACCCTTTCCATGAAGGAATTTTCCCAAATATCCAACCTGAGCCTGGTGCAATTTGAGGCTTTTTTTGGATGTTGAGCTGAGGTCAGGCTGGAGGGTGGGGACGTGTCCCCTGTGCCCTCCCAGCTCCCTCGGGGGAGGCCAAGGCTTTGATCCCAGTTGGATTTTGGCTCGTACTCCTCTGCTTTTTCACCTCCCAGCTTTTGTTTTCAGACTCAGCTCATATTCCAGCTTACGCTGATATTTTTGCTCCTCGCATTTCTTTGCCCCCGCACATCCCTGCTCCGCCTCCGGATTGTCACGACCCTAAATCGCGACATCCCCCCCTCCGGCTGGGGCTCTCTCCCACCTCCCCGGCAGCCGCTTCCCGGTTTATCCCCTTGTTTTCCCCCTCTCCCGATCATTCCTGAGGCTCTGCTCACCCCGAACAGGGAGTGCCCCGAGCTGTAATTCGGGAATGAAAGCAAAGCCAGAGAACTGGTGGCACTGGGAGGAGGAACTGCAGCTCCGGGAGTTGAATTCCCAATTCCAAGCACTCCTGATGGATTAGCCGGGACACAGGACACGGCCAGAACCTCCCTGTCCTAACGCTCCCCGGGATTTTTATCAGGGATAAATTAAATCAAAACCCCTTTATGTGCAGGGGACGTGGATTGAGATGGGCTCTAAGGACACTCCCAACCCAAACCAGGCTGGGATGCTGGGATGCTGGGATGTTGGGATACTGGGATGTTGGGATGCTGGGATGCTGGGATCCCGGGATGCTGCAATGTTGGGATTTTGGGATGTTCAGATCCTGGGATGTTGGGATGCTGGGATCCCAGGATGCTGGGATCCCGACATGCTGGGATAAGGATTTGAGGGCAGGAGCAAATGGCTGCATCCAAACGGGGTTTTTACCCAATATTTTGGATTCTATCAGCTAAAGGACCCAAAGAGCTGCGCCGTGTCCAAACCCAAAACCTGCAGGGTTTTTCCACCTTCGGGCAAGGATGCTCTGACTCCTCTTCTTCCCCTCTCCTCCTCCTCCTCCTCAGCTCCTACAAAGAAACTCCAGGTCAGCGCTGCCCTGCTGCCTTGGCAAGGCACGACCCACACAGACTCTGCCGGCACAGGGATCAGCAGGAGAAAATCTTTATTTACATCTTGAGAGCAGAAACACAGCTGCAGCGATTCACCGGCAGGAAACTCCGGGAAGAAAACTCCGGGAAGAAAAAACTCGGCGTGACATTCCAGGGGGGAGAGGCTCCTCCCTCCACACAGTATCTCGGGTCAGTACAAAATTGCTGTGGCTTTACAAAAGGGTCGGAATTCACAGTAAAATACCGAAGGGGAGCGCGGCAGGGGCACAGCGAGGGACAGAAACCCATCCCCGCTGGAATTTGGTCTCGGGAAATGCAACAGGTCCGGTAGAAAAACCCATCCCGAGGGCTGGAGGCATGCACAGCCATGGGATTTCTACAGCTGTTACAGGGCTCAAAGCCTGGGAAAGGCATCTGCAGGCCTGTCCTGTGCTGGGCTGCGTGGAATTCTCTCTGCAGAAGGAATTTTGCACGAGGGAAGGACAGGACACAAGGACAGGACAAGGCAAAGCAGGGATCAGCCTCTCTGCCTGGCACTCAGCTGCTTTTATAACCTAAAAGACCCCCCATAAAAATCTCCTCCCCTCCTGGCCAAAGCTGTTCCAAAGAAAGCAGTGCACAGGTTTTGGCTATTTCTGGATTTGTGTCTAAAACCAGCCCAGACCTTCATCCCAGGGTCATGGGAAAATCCCAAATCTTTCTGAAATAGGATTGCATTGCCGGCTGGAAGACTCCCAGCATGGAAAGGCCCCCTGGGACAGCAGTGACACCTGACAATCCCTTGGTTCCCACCTGGAAAATCCCCACCTGGGGCAGGGTGGGAGAGCTTTGGCCTCTCCCCCAGGCAGGGCTGAGCAGGGGGGGGATGTGGGCAGTGATCCAGCTCTGGCTCCACTGGGGAGAGCACCAGGATGAAGCAGATTTTAGGGGATCCTTGCTCAGCACGAGGATGCTCAGCTGGGAGAAATAAACCCAGGCAGGTGCTGAAGTTTCACACACGGAAAAAAAAAAAAAATCCCTAAAAAAAAATCCTGTCATTCCCCTTTGGCTGCTGTGGGCCACTCTCCAAGGAAAAATAAACCCAGGGACATCCAGCAGCAGAAAGGTTCCCAGGCTGCTCTGATTAATCCAAGAGGTGCCAGGCAGTGCCAGGTTCCTGCGATCCCCCCTGCCTGAAGCAGCATTCCCTGTGGATCCAGCAGCTCCATGCACAATTCCCAAAAGCTGATGCTGAAATTCAGAGCTTTTTCTGTTGGCTTTTTTTAACCTTTACAAATACAGATCTTGCTTTTCTTTTTTTGCTTTTCTTAATTTTTTTTCCCCCTAAAATACAGAGTTTATAAAATAAGGCAACTCGAGGAGACAATGTCCCCATTGCTCGGGTACTGCATCCTACAAAAAGAGGGTGACAGCACTTCCAGTTGAGGAAAAACCCGGCCCCAAGACAATCCAAGGATGCTGTAAATGGTGGGAAAACACCTGGGCATGGCCCTGGCTGCATCCCAAGGAAGGAAAAGTCTCTGGGATTTGAGGATGGGAATCACTTTGCTGGGGAACGCAGCAGGAGCAGCTAAAGGGAGCCCCTGGCCAGGGCACCTCGGGGACAAAAGGCAACACAGGAGATGGAATGAGCTGATTTCACCCCAAAACTGAAGCACACATGGAGATAAATCTTTGGGAGAAACTCATAGCACATCGCTATCTTGTGGTATTAAAAGCTATAAACCAGGAAAGCACAAAGGTCCTGCTCCCAGCCCAGCTCCTGCTCAGCCTCCCAGCATTCCATAAAAACCTGTACAGCAGCTTTTCCTAGCCCAGAGCTCAGCTCTCCCTGTGGGAAGAGCACAAGGGAATGTTTCACCTCCCATGTTTTGCCTCTTTTGTGTGTATCAATGCTGGAAATGTGATCCTCACCTCTCTCAGCTTTGTAATTTCCCACCTTGCTCCCAAAATTCCCACTGGGCTAAGTGGTGCTTTCTGGAGCTTTATTTCTCTGAGAAATACATTGACTAGAAAATAATTTATAGGGACAAAACACCCCCAAACACCTCAGCCTAGAGAGTCCTCGGCAGTAAACGATCCTGTGGAGCGACAGGATGGCACATGTGGGCTCAGCCAGGGCTCAGGGGCTGGAAAGGGATGGCAAGGACACCATGGCAAAGCTGTGTAAACCTGGAATGGCCAATGCCCTGGTCAGCATCACCAATCCGGGATGCACCACAGGCAGGAGAACTCCAGAGCCCCAAAAGAGGGGAAAAAAAAAAACCCTTTATCCAGCAGACTCGACCTTCTAAACAAAGATCTGATCCTGGCTGTAACTGGTGTCCACCAGTTCCACCCAGCTCATGATCTCTCAATCCCAGCACAGCCCTGGCACTGTGCTGGGAACCAAATCCACGATGGAATGAGATCCCAGTCCTTGGCAGGAGCTGTTCAGTGCTCCTCATCTAGGAGGATGGGTGGGATCCTGCTGGACAGCAGGGTGTACACGTAGGGCCAGATCTTGTTGGTCTCTGTGCCAGAGAAGGAGTGAAGGATTCCTCTGCTCCTGGAAAAAAGGTGGGACAAGTCAGGACCAACCCATCCCAAGGGCTTGGAGCAGCCTGGGATACTGGAGGTGTCCCTGCCCATGGCAGGGGGTGGAATGGGATGGGCTTTAAGGTCTCTTCCAATCCAAACCATTTTGGGATTCTGTAATTCCCCCCTTTCTCCTGCAACGGCAGGATTTTGGCCCACAATGTTCTTAAAAACTCCTGGGCTTCTCCTCCCTTTGAGCACTGGATTTGCCACCCTGCAGCAATCCATCATTCCCAAGCTGGCCAGGGAACAACAGCCCCACAGCTCCAGGGAACAGCCCCACAGCTCCAGGGAACAGCCCCACAGCTCCAGGGAACAACAACCCCACAGCTCCAGGGAACAACAGCCCCACAGCTCCAGGGAACAGCCCCACAGCTCCAGGGAACAACAACCCCACAGTTCGACAGAACGACTTCCCCACAAGGAGATCCCACAAGGAATTGCCCAGAGCAAGCCCTGGAGCCCCGCTGTGCTCCCAGCAGATCCATCGGAGCCAGTGCTGGGCTCTCTCCCTTCTCCTCCCTCTTGCCAACCCCCCGTGCCTCACCCAAACCCCTCCTGGATGGATTTTCTATGCCTCACCCAAACCCCTCCTGGATGGATTTTTCCTGGCATGTCCCACCCTGGCTCTAGGCCGAAGTACCCCTCCCACGATGAGCCCGGCAGGATGAACAGGAGCTGGGAATTTCTTTGGATCTCCCTCCTTCCTGCAAGGGAGGCCCCGGCCAGGCTCAGGGCTTGGCCCCAGAAATCTGCCGGGGCTCTTTGGGATTTGGGAACGGGAAAGCAGCGCTGGAGCCTGTCCTGAGAGCCCTGCTGGGATTTCTGCTGCTGCCCAACTCACTTGTAGAGCTCGATCACGGGCTTGGCAGCGTCCTTGTACTTCCTGAGCCGCGCCGCCACGGCCTCGGGCCTGTCTTCCTCACGCTGCACCAGGGGCTCTCCTGTCAGGTCATCCACACCCTGAGGGGACACAGAGTGACATCAGTGACACAGAGTGACATCAGTGACACAGAGCCACATCAGTGACACAGAGTGATATCAGTGACCCAGAGCCACACCACCCACACAGAGCCACATCAGTGACACAGAGCCACATCACCCACATCACCCACACAGAGCCACATCAGTGACACAGAGCCACATCACCCACACCACCCACACAGAGCCACATCAGTGACACAGAGCCACATCACCCACACAGAGCCACATCACCGACCCCATCAGGTCCCCCCTGAGGCCGAAAGCCTCGTCCTGCCCGCACAAATCCCGCCGTCCTCATGAGCCCTCAGCACAATCCCTCACGGCCCTCACCGGGACGGCGCCCCCGGGGCTTCTTCAGGATCCCAGCTCCGGCAGAGAAAGGGCTTCAAAGAGCTTCTCCCGAGTTTTCCCACTTTGGGAGGCTGCTGGGCAGCTCCAGGGCTCATACCTGGGTGTGGGGAGGGTTGAAGTCCATGTTGTAGACCCTGCCGCTGGCGGGGTGCACCCAGCGCGCACTCAGGCGATCCTTCAGCGTCTCGAAGGGGATGTTGAGGCTGATCACCAGATCCAGCTCGCAGATCCCATCCAGAGCCTTGGCCTGTCCCAGCGTCCGAGGGAAACCTGGGTGGGCAATGAGGGCTGGGAATGAGAGGCCGGGAAGCGGCGAGGATGGAGCAGAACTCGTCCGTCAGGCGGCTCCGGAGCCCGGCCCCGCGGCAGCACGAGCCGTGGGAGAGGCAGACACCGGCATACGGCTCCCAGGAAAAACAGCTCCCAAAATGTGACACCCAGAGCTCGGGCTGGGCCTGCTGTCCCTGCTCGGGGACAAGGGCAGGATGGGGATAAATGCTGGAATGACGAGGGAAAACGTGAAGGGAGCAGAGTGCTGTGCACAGAGCTGCTGGTTGGTGTGGAGGGCATCAAGGATACTGCAGTAAAACACTCCTGTCCTCCTCGGGAGAGCCAGAGAATTCCAGAATTCTGGGTGGTTTGGGTTGGAAGGGACTTTAAAGACCTGAAGGGAGCCCACAAGAAAGATGGAGAAGGATCTTCCATAAGGCCTGCAGGGACAGGACACAGGGAATGGCTCCCAGAGGGCAGGGCTGGATGGGATCTTGGGCAGGAATTGTTCCCTGGCAGGGTGGGAATAGAATTCCCAGAGCAGCTGTGGCTGCCCCTGGATCCCTGGAAGTGCCCAAGGCCAGGTGGGAGCAACCTGGGCCAGGTGGGAGGTGCCCCTGGTGGACCTGGATGAGCTTTAAGGTCTCATCCAATGCAAACCACTCTGGGATTCTCCAGTTCTCATTCCAGCCATGGCCAGGACCCCGTTTCCCTCAGCATTTCCCGTCCCTCCACCTCGGGTGGCTTTTGGGCTGGGATTGAGGAGCTGCTTCACACGCAGGGGAAGGAGGGGAGAAGTTTCTCCTGACCCACCTCCAGCCCTGCTCTGCTTTATGGAACACCCAGCTCCTCTCCCTGCCCTTCCCTTGTGCCAAGGGCTCAGCTGGACACGTTCCAAGGCCCTGCCTGCAGCTCGGCTCCTGCCTCTCCTCCCACCTCCAGCAAAGGCATCTCCTGCCTTTTGTCTCTCCTGGAACAAAGGGATGTTCCAAAGGGGGCTGGGATTTGCCCATCTGGACTCACCATCGAGCAGCCAGTGCTGCTCCCGCCGCTTCTCCAGCTCCGCCATCATCACGCGCGTGATGACGTGGTCAGGCACCAGGAGGCCCCTCTCGAGGTACTGCTGTGCCAGGACTCCAGCTTCTGCTCGAGACAAGAGAGAAAAACCCAAAAGCAATGGATTAGAAAGGGAGGAAAATTAAAAAATCATGACATTTCCACTTAAAAAAAATATCACTCCCCCTCAAATTCTGCCCGGCCTCCTCTGTCTGGGAGGTTTTTGGCAGCGTCGCTCTGCTCGTGATGGAAAGGCCACACAGTGCTTGTGGGGCTGGAGGAATGGGAATTCCTGAGATGCCTGAGAGCAGGAACATGCTGGGCCTCAGCCAAGCCCTCAGCTGATGGAGAGAGAAGCCCTGGATGTGCTCCTTTGGTTCAGGAGATTCCCAGAATTCCCAGAATCACCAGGCTTGGAAGAGACCTCCAAGATCATCAAGTCCAACCCAGCCCTGACACCACAACCAGACCATGGCACCCAGTGCCACATCCAGATCTTTCCATAAACACATCCAGGGATGGTGACTCCACCACCTCCCCAGGCAGAACATTCCAGTGCTTTATTATTCTATCCATGAAAATCTTTTCCCTGATATCCAACCTGTATTTCCTTGGTGCAGCTCGAGGCTGTGTCCTCTCGTTCTGTCAGTGCCTGGAGAAAAGAAGGAGCCCAACCCCAGCTGCTCAAAACCTCCTTTCAGGAGCTGTGGAGAGCGATGAGGTCACCCCTGAGTCTCCTTTTCTCCAGGCTGAACACCCCCAGCTCCTCACAGGGTTTGTGTTCCAATGGGAGATGGCCCTGATGCGGTCCCATGTGACTCTGGCACAGGGAAGGGCTGTCCCAAACACCTGAGCCTGCTTCCCATCCCCAGGGCTGAAAGATTTCACTGTCTCCACTCGAGATAAGCTCAGATAAGAAAATTATTCCCGAGATCACACCTTGAGAAGGTAATTGTGGTAATTGCAAGGTAAGTGCACATTCCCGGGCTCCTGCCTGCCTCTCCCACATCCCTCAGCTTCAGCTGCTCCAGGAGAGCTGGAGAGGGACTGGGGACAAGGGATGGAGGGACAGGACACAGGGAATGGCTGCCAGTGCCAGAGGGCAGGGCTGGATGGGATCTTGGGCAGGAATTGTTCCCTGGCAGGGTGGGCAGGCCCTGGGATAGAATTCCCAGAGCAGCTGGGGCTGTCCCTGGATCCCTGGCAGTGCCCAAGGCCAGGCTGGATGGGTTTGGAGCAGCCTGGGACAGTGGGAGGTGTCCCTGTGGTGGCACTGGATGGGCTTTAAGGTGCCTCCCAACCCAAACCATTCCAGGATTGATATTTGCCATGATTTTCTTTCAGCCCCTCAGAAACAGAAAGAAAACATTTGGAAAATCCCTGTGTGTGACAAGTCCTGCTCCCGCCCCAGGACCCCATGGACACCTCTCCTGCTGCCTTCCCACGGCAGCTGAAATAGCATTTATCACCAGAAATGAACAATTCCCTGCTCTATTTTTTGCACTCTCTCTGGTGAGGACAGCACATTTCAGCCCTCTCCAAGTGTGAGTCCTCTCCAAAAATAATCCCCAGGATCCTGCATTAGGAGGCAGCTCCGGCTCTCCAGGCTGCACAGAGATGTCCAAGTGGGCAGCTCCTGCACCTGGCTGGGCATGGATTCCTCAGCTGCAGGAGGAATTTTTACAAGAGAAACAATTCTTGGGAAGAATTGGTCTGATCTAAGGGAAGAACCAGCCTGAACACATCCCCCTGTGGGAGCATGGGGATGGCTGGGGAAGGGGCAGGTGGGGCTCCCACACCAGCCACGCTCCCAGGTTTAATCCAGAACCCAAAGAATCTGCTTGGAAAAAGCAAAGATTTTTTTCCCTGCTGCCTTCTCCCGACAGCAGGTCCAGCCTCTTTTCCTTGGAGCAGAGCCAGAAGTGCAGAACGTTGGAATCCAGCATCCGACCTGCCTGGGAGCGGGGCAGAGCTGACTCACGGGCTGAGTCACCGGGATCGCATCCCACTGCCTCCCATCCAGGCAGGAATTCCAGCTGGCCCCGCTGGGAGCGAGCAGAAAACACCTTTCCTCAATGACAGCTTCTCTGTCACCGCCGGCAGCGTTCCCGCCTGGGAAAGCCAAGGACACGGGCATGGAAAAAACACCCTGCGGGTTGTGCAAACAGCACGGAGCCCTGAGGGCAGAGATATTATAAAAACAGGAGTTTTGTGTTTTTATTATGGTTTTTTATATTTATTGACACAGTCACAGGCTCACAGGGAATGAGCTCCCTGCAAGGGCTGGGCTGATCCAGGGAAGAGTTGGGAGGTCTGGCTGGGCAAGGTCTGGCTGTCACTGAGGAGGGATGGACATCCCAGGAGCTGGAGAGGCCACACAAGGTCTGGCTGTCACTGAGGAGGGATGGACATCCCAGGAGCTGGAGAGGCCACACAAGGTCTGGCTGTCACCCCAAGGAGGGATGGACATCCCAGGAGCTGGAGAGGCCACACAAGGTCTGGCTGTCACTGAGGAGGGATGGACATCCCAGGAGCTGGAGAGGCCACACAAGGTCTGGCTGTCACCCCAAGGAGGGATGGACATCCCAGGAGCTGGAGAGGTCACACGAGGTCTGGCTGTCACCTGAGGACACATGACCATCCCAGGGACCAGCTGTGGCTCAGCAGGCTGCTGGAGCCAGGCCTGGAGCTGCAAGCCAGAAATACCCTGAGCCACAGCTGGGGCTGGGAACACGGCAGAGCCCCACAGCCCTGCTGCCCCAAGGCTGCAGCTTTCCCACGGCCCCAGGACAGATGGACAGCTCTCCACAGCTCTGCCATGGACAATTCCTGCTGCTCCTCTGTCCCCTCTGTGTGGGGAGCTCCTGGAGCTTCTCCTTCCTCTCTCCAAGGAGGAATGGCCGTGGATTTGCAGGAAGGACCTGCAGAGCTCTCCAAACCCCCAACCCTGGAGAGCATCATCCCAACCTCCCAGCCCTTGGGGCTCCTTCCAGGCCCAAACTTTAAACTCTGAACTCCAAATTTAACATGTGCTGTCCCCTTGCCAGCCCCCAGCCCCATGTAAAACCTCCCTGGTGCAGCCCTGCCTGGCCTCATTCCAAAGGGGAGCAGGGTTTGGGGAGCAGGGAGGGAGATCCTGGTCCCCAACACGAGGAGCTGGGGCTCACCCCATAGCACCAAACCCCCAGTGCTGTGCCTGGCTCACAGAGGGGGTGCAGGATTTACTCTGCACTTACTCCAGGTAGCAAAGGGGGTTTTAGTGCACCGAGCTCAAACCCAGCCTTTCAACTCCTGCTTTAATCCCATTAATCTGATGACCGTGGGTTTAATCTGCCCTGAAACTCACGGGACTCCCAGCTCTCTGTGGCTTCCCCCACGCGACCTTGATCTGTCCCTCCTTATCACAGCAGCACAGATCCAGCCCCAAGGGATGTGTCCCTGCCCTGAGGGACATGTCCCAGCCCCGAGGCCACCCAGCAGCCACCCAGGGCCAGGCAGGACAGGCTGGAGGAGAAGCTGGTCCCAAACACAGCCCTGGGCAGCCTCCAGCACAGCTCCAGGCTTTCTCCCTATCCAAAACCCTTTCCAGGATTTTTTTTGCTATTCTTAAGGCTACAGAAGCACAATCCAGAGCTAACGGAGAGGAGAAACCCTGGGAGTGAACAGGACACCAACACACCACCACAGTTAAGCCACAACAGATGTCACCCCAGTTTTGGGACCTTTTTCCTGACACTGCTGCTGCCCTCAGCATCAGGATGTCATTTTAGGGAGCAGGAGCCTGGTGTGGCCCCAAATGCAGCTGGATGGACAGTGGAGTCTGTCTGGAAAGCAACAGCCAGGACTGGGAGTGATGGCCAAGGCCACAACACAGCTCCCACACACAGGGACACAGCAGGAACCCTGTGGAAAAGCAGAGGACAGACAGGCTGCATCCCCGGGCTCAGCTTTGGCCACCAACCAGGCCAGCGTGGCCAGCAAAGAGCACAATCCGTGGGAAAGGTGTGGAGAAGGGCGGTGGGGCTGGGCCGTGCACAGCCCACATCCCACAGGGAATTCTTCTTTGGTGGATGCTCACAAAGGAATTCTGTCACCAGGAGGGGACAGGAGCCACTTCTGGCTCCAGCAGAGCACCTGGGAGGGAGCAGTGGGACAGACACGAGGCCAAAGGCAGGACAAGCGATTTGGTTGTTTTCAGCAGAGTCCTGCTAAGACCTGGGGATGCTGCCAGCACCAGAGACCATCACCTGGGTTCCGGGGCAAGTGCTGGCCAAGGAAACGGCTCACCACCCTCCAGCACCCCTGCCTGGCACCAAAACACAGCCTGTGAGTTTTCCAAGGTGTTACAAAGGCCTTTTCCTGCAGCAGAGCAGCCGCTTGCTGGGAGACACTAATTAGGAGACACGGGTGGGAGCAGATGTACTTGGGGCTCGCTGGAGCACAACTTCAGCAGCAGCCGTGCATTCAGCTGCTTCAGCTGCCTCAAAGTGAAGCTTTGTTCCCTGAGACTGCCACCACCAGCTCCAGCCTGGAATGCTCTCCATGCTGGGAACTCAGCCTTCCTCCAGCAGCAGGAGCACCCCATGGCCCCGAACCCTTCACGCCTGGCAGGAAAATCCCTGGAGCATTGACACATGAGGCCAAGATGCCTGTGAAAACACAGGATTCAGAGTTGTTTTGGGATGATGAGTCTGTAATGACCCTGTTGGTTCTGCAGAGCCCCAGCTCCCCTGAAGCACAAAGCCGGTGACGCAGCTGATAAACTTGGGAAGAGGAGAGCTACTTCCACCTCGTTTCCCCTGGAGCTGGCACACGGCAGCACAGTCATGTAACAGCTTGTCCAAAGCAAACAGCAAAAATAAAAATAAAAAAAAGTTAAACCAAATAACTGGAGCTCACTGAGAGCTGTTACGGAGGCTGAGTCGAAGGTGGGACCCAAATGTCACGCCAGATGAACCAAACCACGGCTGGTTTCCTTCTGAGTAATTTTCCCTGTGTTTCTCCCTGTTTTTTCCTTCTGAGTGTACCCAAGACACCTTCAGCTGGCTCTTCTTGCTTCTCCAGTGTCCCCAGAGGAGCTCTGTGGCAAGAGCACGAACTGAAATGTGGAGCTGGGGACAGTCAGTGGTGGGCAGTCTCAGCGTGCTGCCCCCCTCCACACTCTGCACCTCTGCTCGCTTTTCAGCCCAGCTTTCTGTCCTTCAGCCAAAGCCCTCATCGGCATTTTCCAAATTTTGAGCCTGCCTCTAAAGGAAATATTATTGTCCCTTTTATTTACAAAAGGAAATCTGGATATTTTTACATGAGTGACCAGCGCAGAGCTGTGTGTAACGCCCTTGTCAGACCATGCACTTCTCCAAAACTTTACCCTCCCTAATTTTCCTCCCTGTTTTTGCCATCCTTCTAGAATAGAAATCACTTCTAAATCCTCTTTTTTCGCAACGACGCCGTTTCACCGTTCCCCTGCCCGGTGAGTCAGCTTCCCCCCCACCCCCCGGCTCGCTCTTTCACACATTAATTAGCAGAGGAGAGGAGGAAGTGTTGGGAAAAGAAATACGCCGGGATTGCCCAGTCCTGCCGCTCTGGGGCTCAGCAGAGCCTCGCCTGCACCAGGAGCCCCTCGCCGGCCAAGGGCCAGGGGCACAGCGCATCGCAGCTCCCAGGGGTTTGGATTGGGATGTCGGACCCGGGACAGGCAGCGCTGCCCTGCCTGGGGGCTGCCAGCCCTAAAAACCGGGCTGTGACTGTGCGAGGTGGGCGCTGACCCCATCTCCTGCAGCTCCCCCCGCTTCTGGGAGCCGGTCAGAGCAGCGGGTGACCGGCAGCGATATTCCCGGCGGGTTTTCCCTCTGGACCAGCGCTCGTTCCCAATCCATCCGTGCTGCCGTGGGCGCAGAGCGCATCCCGGCCATCTGCCATCCCTGGCCGGGCAGCACCCGGGGCAGGATGCGGTTATTGATACAGCCCCGAGCCCCGGGAGGGTTTGAGCCCAGCTGAGGCTTTCCCACCGCCCTCTCCGGAGCCCTGATCACCCAGCACAGCGCCCAGAAAACTATCGCGCATCCACGGCAGCGCACGGCTTCAGATCCCGCTTCTCCCGAGCGGCTCCGTGAGCTCCGGCGGGAGGGAGCAGGCGATGAATGAGCCGTGCCAAATCCACGGGAAGAAAACAACCTGTGGTGCACCCGCCGTGGAGACGGATCCCCGTCCATCCCCGTCTCCATCCCAGCCCCGTCTCCATGCGCATCCCTACCCCGCGCTCATCCCCACCCCGTCCCGGCGCTGCCCCTCCGGAGATGCTCGGGCAGGGTCCCCCCGCTCCCGGTCCCGACGGGGCGGCCCCGCGGGCACTCACCGCCGCCTCCGCCGAGGCTCTCCCGCAGGAACTGCCCGCTGGAGAGGTGCTGCAGCCCGAAGCTGCGGGCGATCCTCTCGCACACCGTGCCCTTGCCCGAGCCGGGGGGGCCGAGCACCACGGCCCGCAGCAGCTTGGAGGCCATGGCCGGCTGCCGGCGCCGGAGCGCTGCGGGGCAGGACACGCGTCAGCCGCCCCGGCCGCGCTCCCCCCGCACCGCCCGGACACATCAGCAGGGCGGGGGGACCCTGCGGCCGCTCCCCCCGCGCCGCCCGCCCGCCCCCTCGGGCCGCGGCACCCTGGGATTTGTAGTCCCGGAGCCGCCCGCTCATCCCCCGGCCCGACGGGGCTCCCGCCGTTCCGCACATCCCGGCCCGGCGCATCCCGGTTCCGCACATCCCGGTTGGGAGCATCCCGGTTCCGCACATCCCGGTTGGGAGCATCCCGGTTCCGCACATCCCGGTTCAGCGCATCCTGGTTCGGCTCATCCCGGTTCAGCGCTGCCCACGGAAGCGGCTCCCGGGGCACGTCCCGCACGCCCGGCACGGCCGAGCCCGCCGGGAGCCGGGGGGGACGCGCGGGGCACCGCGAGCACCGGGGCGGGCACGGCGGCTGCGGCCGGTGGGTACAACCCGCGTGTGCCCCGCCTGCCAACAGCCGGGAAACGCGGCCGTGGGCGGGCAACCTGTGGATGCACAGCTGGAAAACAGCAGCCCGGGGAGGTACAGCCTGTGGAGGTACAGGCGGCACAGGCACACACAGCCTGAGATGGTGTGCAGCCGGTGAACAGCCCGGCACCGCACAGCCCACTGTGCCCAGGGGCTGCTCAGCTCCGGTGACACGGCGGGGGTGTGTGTGTCACTCCCTGTGTGTGTGTGTGTGTGTGTCACTGTGTGTGTGTCACTCCCTGTGTGTGTGTGTCACTGTGTGTCACTCTGTGTGTGTGTGTCATTGTGTGTCACTCTGTGTGTGTGTGTCACTGTGTGTGTCACTGTGTGTGTGTCACTGTGTGTGTGTCACTGTGTGTCACTCCCCGCGCTGTCCCGGCGGGCGCAGCCCTGCGTTCGTGCCGGTGCCGGTGCCGGTGCCGGTGCCGTGTCCGTGTCCGTGTCCGTGTCCGTGTCCGTGCCGGTGCCGGTGCCGCGTGCGCGCTCCCGCTGGTGCCGCCGTGCCCGCGCGCGCTCCCGTCTCTCCCCCCCGTTCCCCGCCCGCGCGCGCCCCCGCGCCGCCCCCGGAAGCGGGCGCGGGTCACGTGGGCGCGCGGCGCTGCCATAAACACGGCAAGATGGCGGCGCTCACGCCGCCCGCCCGCCCGTGCTGCGTCATGTCGCGCCCCGGCCCCGCCGCGCCCGCAGGTGGGTCCGGCCCGGCGCGGCCCCGGGCACCGCGGGGTGGGCGGCCGGCGGCGGGGGGCGCGGGGCCGGCGGCGCCGGGCGCGGCGCTGCCCCGTGGCGCACTCGCATTTTCGGGGGGTGCGCGGGCGGGGCCGCCGCCCCCCCTGCCCCGGGCGGCTCCTGAGGGGCGAGCGGGGCGGGGGGCGCTCCGCGGGCATCGGGGGAGGGGTCTCGGTCCCGCCGCGTCCCGTCCCGTCCCGTCCCGCGGCTGCTCCGCGGCTTTCCCCCGTTGCAGGTAACCTCGGGGAGCGCCCTCGGAGCGAAGTTGGGAGGCAGCGGCGGTGCCGGCCGGGCCCTGCCGGGCTCCGCCGCCCCTCAGCGCCTCCGTGCCCGCGGCCGTGTCACCGCCCGGCGCTCCGCCGCTGCCCTATCCCCGTAACCGGCTGTTTGTTTTCTTCCCTCCTCAGGCTCGCCGGGATTGGCGTTCAAACCGCGCTGGGGAAGATGGAAATTAAAACGAGGTTTGTTCCCCTCGCACCTCCCGAGGCCGGGCAGGGTGAGCAGCTCGCAGCGCTGGAAGATCCTCGAGCCGTGCGTAGGGGTGGGGAGGGACGAGCCCTGGGGCTGTGGGCAGGGAACGTCCCCAATTCCAGTCCCAAGGAATTTTGGTTCCTATGAAACAACTGCAAAAATGTCACCAGCCCCAAAGGGGCAGGAGGTGGAACTGGAGTTTAAAAAGCCAACCAGGCCAACTTAAATGAGTTTCAAAGGTGAGAACTGGCAGCAAACACTGCAAAGTAAAAGGTTTGTTTAAAAAGCGTATGGAAATTTGCAGGGTCTTAGCAATAACAAGAACAAAAATGTGTGCTGGACTCCAAAACTAATGAGGGTTTTGCTATAAAAAAGGTGTTTTTTTCCAGATAAATGGAGTAAAGCTACTTGAGCTTTAGTCTGGCTGAGGCAAAGCAAAAATCAGAGTGTGTGTGAGATGCAAGATAACAAACTGTATTTGTACTGGGGGAAGAGGTGGATCCTCCAGAGAAAATGGCATCAGCACCTGGAATACGGGTGTGACTCCAACAGTTGCTGTGCCAGAGGGTGCTGGGGAGGAATTATTCTCCCTCTCCCTTTAATACCGTGATCAGTAACTCCTGGAGCACAGTAAAATCCTGATGGAGTGATCAAAGCATGCTTGAATTGCAAAGCAGTGATTCTTCTCTCATCATTTCAGTCTGTGAAATGTAGAATTCCCAATCCCACCCCAAAATCAGTCCAGTTCCTCACCTGGAATACCAGTGGTGGTGTGAAAACACCTCAGAGTGAGAGCCAAGGGCTCGTTGCTCATGCAGCTCCTTTCCTTTTCAAAACCCACCCTTGCACGGACAGAATCCATTAATATTTTTAGCAAGTTTTTGTTGTGCTTTCCTAGCAACAGCCAATTCCTTAATGATTAATCCCCAAACAGTGGCAAATCTGCAAATTTGGGAATGCATGCTGAAGTCATCCGTGCTGCCTGACGTCAGCATTGCATAATCTGTTGACAGTCCCCTTTTTATGTAATGTATGTTTGGAGTTTGTTTTAAAATGTACAAATGTGGTTTTATTTTTTTCCCCTGCGTGCTGCTCCTCCGATATTCCATGTTTGCCTCTCCGTTGCCCTCTGGAGTTGCAAACTTGTAAGGCAGCGTGTTCACGGCTGGATCCAGCCGAGTGTTTTGTGTTTCTGTCTTAAAAACAGCCCTCTGGAGCATCTCTGCACCTTCTTTTTGCCAGGTGAGTTATTTAGAGTGTTAAAAAAAAACCCCAATTTTTGGAGTTTTTGCTTCCTCCTGGTGGAAACGTGGAAGCTTCTTGTGCTGCTGGAGTCCATCAACATCATAAATAGATTTTATTGGAAACTTGGTAACACATTAACTCGGGCAGCCTAAAACCGTGGTGTTTTTTTTTTTTAAACTCGTTTCAGAACTTGATGTATCTGATTTCCTCAGGCAACCTGGGGGTTGTAGGAATAATTTGGTGATGTTTTCAAGAATGCCTGGTTTTAGGGAATGAAAAAACCATGAAAGGGGTAAAGTTGTAGAAATACACAACAAAGTGGGGGATGAAGAAGTAGTTCTGTGATCTTTTCAGCAGTGCCTGTTTTTAAAGAAGAGAAAAAAACAGTGAGGCTGATGAAAATACAGGTTGATGGAAGCTTGTAATTTAGCTAATTAATGGGATTGTGTGTGTCAAATGTTTTTATGTGGATTTGGTGACCTAAAAATGCCACCTCAGACACCTGGAGGCCCCTCTTTGCTTCCTGCAGCTGCAGTCCCTGTGAGCACAGCTGGCACTGGGGGCTGCTCTCCTCGGAGGGCGCGGCGAGGATCAGCCGTGCTGGCTCTGGAGACACACGAGCCAAGCTCCAGAGGAGCCCAGTGAAGGTGTGGGATGGGCTGGAAAATCCCAGCTCCTGGAAAATCAAGCAGCAGGAGCCTGGCAGGCTCAGGGCACGGTGTCGTGCCCGTGGTGATGCCGCTGTCCCAGAGTGGCTCCAGCAGCTTTCCTGGCTGCCTGCCACTGTCCCCGTTGCTCCCTGACACCCAATACGAGCAGCATGAGCCAAGGGCTGGCTGGATTTAAGGGGGAGGAAGGGCTGGCTCCATGTAGGAGGGTTGGTTACTCTTTCTCCATTAAATCCAGCATGGGTGGAATTGCCCAGAAGAAGCCTCCTCCGCTTCAAACCACTCAGAGCTGCCGCCGTGGTCATTAAGATAACGCTAATTATGTGGGTAATTTCCTGGAGTGAACCTCAGCTGCAAAGCCACTTGTGTTAAAGCTCCTGAGGCTTTCACCTGCGGGGTGAGGCGAGGTTTTGGGGACGCTGAGGACGCCGAGGACTCGGCAGTGCCACGGAGGGGCCAATGACTGCCAGGCTGCCCTGGCTCAGTTATCACAGTGCTGATGCTGTCTCTTGTAAAGGTACAGTACTGTGATAACTGAAGGATGGCAGCCATCTGAGCTTCACGGCATCCTGGGGCCACCAGAGCCACCCAGCCCCGCTCCACCACAGCCTGCTTGTTTCACCTGGAGCCCTTGGCAGAAAAATCACGTTTATTTCAATAAAATATTGCACACTTTGCCTCGATACTGGCTGTTTCGTCTTGGGAGGGCTTCCAGAAACGCTGGGCTTTGGAAATGTTCAGAAATGGTTCCCAAAGCAGGGTCCTGTGCAGCCTGCTGGATGTTCAATAACAAAGAGGTTCCTCGGTGGGGGATACTTGGTAACAGAACAAATTATTCTGTAGCAATAGAGAAAATGAAGCCCTTTTAAAATACTTTTTAATAGAAGGATTCCACAATCTTGGCTGGCTACTGTAACTCAGAGGGCTCAAAGTAGAAATAAGTGGTGGGAAGTGGAATCTTTAAGCAGTGAGGTCCCGGTGGATCGGGTGCAGTCCTTGCAGTGTTTCCTCGGGGCTTCTCTGCTCTGTGAGTGGGAGACTGAATTTCCTGGGTCATTTTTACCCCTGGAAATGAGGTGGTTTTCAGGGAGCTGATCTTTGTGCCGTGTGATTTAACTCTGCAGTGCTGGGACACGACAGCAGAGGGGCCCCGCGGGCCGGCTCGTGATGGGACTGTGAAATGCCAAGATTTTTGCATAAAGTAACCGGAGCCTTGCAGAAATGTCCTGTTTCCCAGATTCCTGCCCTTCCCCGAGGAATTGGTGGCATTCAGGATGCCGAGGCTGGTGCGGCGCTTTCCAGAGGTCACTATTTACTCTCCATCCCGACGTTCAGCCTGGTCATTGACCCAGTGGTGTTTAAAATTC